AGAAATCAAAACACAACAAAAACCTCAAATTAAAAAAAATCTACATACAAAATTTATACAGGATAGTTAACATAGTTGATCTACTGTCTTCTAATACTTTGCTGACAGAAACTTATTGATTGATCAATATTGCATGTCTCTATTTGTTTTCATGAGAAACCACTTTGAAGATATCAATATGGAATACAGTCTGTATTGTGCTTGTGATATGTTGTAAAATGTAAGTCTGTTAATGTTTCCCTCCTTTTATCTTTAAAATAAAAAAAAAAATATGGAATACAACAAGCATTGTTAATTTCCTACCATTTTGTTTGTAACTCTGTATTGTCTGTACTGTTCTTTTCCTATTTTGTAAAAGGTTGTCTGTCTGTTAATGTTTTCCTCCTTTTATGTTTAAATTTTAAAAAATAATAAAATCTACTTTGAAAAAAAGCTAAAAAAAAAAAAAAAAGCAAAAGAGGTTCAAAGTGCAGAGAGGTGGGACAGTATTAAAAAAATAATGATCCAGAAGCCAGTGATAAAAGAGTAATAAAAGTAACCAGCCTGAGTCATCTGGAGGCTGCCACCTTCTACTGCTGACAGGAATCTCAGTTCCTTTTCTCCTTCTGGCTGAACACAGCCCAGACTCTTGTCCTGCACCACTGGGCCTGTTCCTGGCTTCGGTGAAGTCATGCTGGTGTATGTGGCGGCCTTTGTGGGCTTGTTCTACCTCCTGCGCTGGTACCGGGAGAGGCAGGTGGTGAGCCACCTCCAAGACAAATATGTCTTCATCACGGGCTGTGACTCGGGGTTCGGGAACCTGCTGGCCAGACAGCTAGACATGCGAGGCATGAGGGTGCTGGCCACTTGTCTTTCAGAAGAAGGGGCCGAGCAGCTGAAGAAACAGACATCAGCACGGCTGGAGACAGTGATCCTGGATGTCACCCAGACAGAGAGCATTGCTGCAGCCGCCCAGTGGGTGAAGGAGCGCGTGGGAAGCAAAGGTACCACCAGGATTCCTGTCTGTGTCTTTGGGCTTCTTCTGTGTGTGTGAAAGGGGCACCTTCTGTGTGCTTGCTGGTGAGATTTAAAGGAATCTTGAGGTGGTGCTTGAAGTAAGACTCACTTCCTTCCCCTCCCCACAGTGGTACCCTGAGTCCCTTCTCTCTCCTGTGGCCTTGAAGCCCTTGAGTCTTGGTGAGAGGGGCCTGCTGGGAATCGGGCCTCTGTCCAGATTTCCTCTGTCCTCTGCCTGCCTCTCTAAGGAGAGGTTTGGCTTACAGGATGCTGAGTGCCTGGTTAGCGAAGCGATATCTTTCAGGACGAGGGCTGGGGACTGGCTCTGTCGGCTCTGTGGTGGCTGCGGAATGCTGGAGCTGAGCTCATGTCTCAGCACCGCAACTTATTCTGACTGGGTCCCCAGCATCCTCCGCCTGGAGTGCTATAATCTTCCCATTTTCAGCATAGCTCGGAGATTAGGAACTGGCTTCAGGAAGGCAAAAAGTGGG